CTGGCCTTGAACTCACAAAGATCCGCCTGCCTCTGCCTCCCAAGTGCTGGGATTAAAGGTGTGCACTACCACGCCCGGCAGCGATTTTAAATGTCATTGGAATCTCAGAGAAATGGTGAGGGGTTTTTTTGGTCGTTTTGGTTTGGTTTAGTTTTTGAGTTCTGTTGCATAGCATGGTGAATATTGCCATTGACAAGCTTGCAACCTCTTTTCTTAAAAGAAATTTTCTTAAAATTTCTCCACGTTTCATGACTGAAGCTTCTATGCACAGCCCTCATGAGGGTCAGAATCCTGGGAAAGCCAGAAAAACTGACCTATTTTTAGCACACTCTGGTTGTCAAAGCAAAATTAACAAATGATCTTTGATCTAGAAATATTCACATAGGATCTGGCACCTAGTAATCCTTAGAATGGAATGAAGAACTAAGCATAAAGTAAGATAGCCAAATATCACACATGGGTACAAGGATGCTGGGGGAAATGGTATTACAGCAACGAAGGGAATTTGTGTTTGCACTTGATAATTAAGAAAGTAGAGAAAGGTAGAAAGAAAACAACAAAGATCATGTCATGAAGACTGTGACAAGGTAGACATTGTGACTGCCATCCTCCAGGAGGCGGCTTGCCGGTGTTTCAGAAGCCTTCACACAATGGCTGTCAACACAGTCATTCCCCTTCAGGTGATTTTCCAAAGAAATAGGCAGGATGATGGACAGATTTGTGTTCAAGAATATTCGCTGCAGCCTCATTTTAATAGTAAAAGAAAATTGATTTAATCTAAATATCCAAAAATAGGGAATTGTCAAAATAAATTATACATTTCATACAAAGGCATTCTTGACAGCCAATAAAAGGCTTTAGAATACTTTGTGGCATAGAAACTACTCAATGGTGATGGGAAATAGGTTCCCAAGTGGTGTGTACCCTATGAGTCACATGTTTCCATACATGCTCCTTTGCAAAAAGCAAAATCATGATGTGCCCAAATGTCAAAAACTGAATTGAGCACTAGTGTTGAGATTACAGATGATTTTCATTTTTCTTTCTAAGCCTTTCTGCATTTTCTTACGAACATATACATTTTTAATGAACACATATATTTTTATAAATCTAAATAAGTATTTTGAGTTTTTCATATTCCCAGTGTTACAGATAACAATTGACAGTGTCTTTTATTATTTCTTTGATAGTTTCCTACAATATATTTCAATTATATTCTCCCCTCTCCCAACTCCTCCCAGATCTACTCCTATCTCCCTACCTACCATCTTTGTGTTCTTTTTTTTCATTTTTGTTCTTTTAAATTTGTATTTATATGTATGTGTGTGCCCATGTGAATACATGCCATGCATGTGTGCATGCTGGTGTGCATGCTGGTGGAGGCCAGAAAGCGGCGTCAGATCCCCTGGAGCCTGAGTTGCAGGCAATTGTGAGCTACCTGAGGTGGGTGCTGGGAACTGAACTCAGGTCCTCTGGAAGGGCAACGAGTAAGTGTTCTTAACCACTGAGTCATCTCTCCAGTACCCTTTGTGTGTTTTTTCTTCTCCCACCCCATGGAGTCCAATTTATGTTGCCCAGATACTCTTGAGTGTGGAACTAGCCCTGGAGTGTAATAAACCTACCAGGGACCACACCCTTAAAGAAAACAGATTCTTCCTCACCCAGTAGCTATCATATGCCAATAGCTCCTTAGTTATGGTTGGGACTTCATAACCACCTCCCCGCTCCATGCCAGAATTTTGTCTGGGTTGAGCTTCAACAGGTCTTGTATGTATTGTCACAATTGTTGTGAGTTAATATCTGTCATTGCCCTGCTAGAAAACACTGTTTCCTTGTAGTGACTGACCATCTCTGACTCTTAGTCTTTCACCCTCTCTTCCACAAAGATCCCTGAGCCTTGGAGGAAGTGGTATGATATAGATATCCCATTTAAGGCTGAGTACTCTGTAGTCTCTTATTCTCTGCATGTTGACCAGTTGTGAGTCTCTGTGATAATTGCCTTTTACTGCAAGAAGAAGCTTCTTTGATGAGGGTTGAGAGATCTACTAACCCATAGGTATAGCAAAAAGTCATTAGGAGTTGCTTTAATACTATGTACATTTAATAGACTATTAGTAACAGGTTCTCCCCTAGGCCCATGACCAATTTAGCCCCAGGTTCTTGGCCCCCCCTAATGGTGCCAGGTGTGGTCAGAGAATGGGCCATAAATACAATCACAAGGTGTTTGGTTGCTCCTATAACATTCATGCCACTATTGCACTAGTGGGCATGCCTTGCCAAAGTCAGTTGTTTTTGCATCTCACAGGGTCACAGCTGGATAATATTGAGGATTATGTTTCTCCTCTGATAGCCTCCATAGCACCTTTCAGCACTATGAAAGCTAGCCCACAGGAATGAAGCTTCCAGGTCAGAACCTGTTTGATTTCTCCATGTTTCATGACTTAAGGATGTGTTGTTTTCAGCAATAGGGTCTTACTGAACTGACAATATCTTAAGGTAGTTTTTCTAGCCCTTTTTCTTTGTATACTGTACTAGTTTTTATCAATTTGACACAAATTAGAGTCACCTGAGAAGAAAGAACCTCAATGGAAGAATTTCTCCCATCAGACTGGCCTGTGGGCATGTCTTTGAGGAATTTTCATAATTGTTAATTGATGTAGGAGGGCCTAGCCCACTCGAGGCAGTGCCATTCCTAGGCAGGTGGTCCTGAGCTATTTAAGAAAATTAGCTGAACAACCCATGGGGAGCAAGCCAGTAAACAGCATTCCTCCATGACCTCTGCTTCAGATTCTGCTCCAGGTTCCTGCCTTGATGATGAACTGTGACTCAGTGTTTTATCACAGCAACAGGAAAGCAAACGAGGACACATACATAAGTACCCTATTTTTGTATATATAGTATTAGAATGGTGCTATATTACAATTTTCTAATTGTACCTATCTTCATCAGCCACATTCCCCAACCCCCAAAAATAACAAAATAAAAAACTTTGAAGTACTTGACACCAGTCTAGAAATAACTCAGACATATAATAAATAGTGATTATGCATGCTTCAAAAATATGAGTAATTATAGAAGTTGATGGTTTGCTTAGCAGCTTTATAAAGAATTCTAGTGGGGTTTTGGGGGTGATTTTTTGCTTAAGTATAATTTAAAATTATTTGGCAGTTAAATTAGCTGACCTTTAAGGTCCTCCATAATCCTGAGGTTCTCAGACTAATGGAACTGTATGTTCAACTCCTTCTCTATTACCCCTCTGGGAGACCTGCCTGTCCAGACCACAAGACTGTAACCACACTGTGCTCCAATTTCAGCAAAAGTGTTTTAGGAAGAAATAAGGTCCCTGAAGAGCTGACCAACAAACTTATACCAAGTCACATACAAATCTTTGTACAGTTTAAGAGATTAGCTAAGATAGGACTATTTCATAATCAGAGTTATGACATCTGACATCTGTAAACAGACCAGGTCAAAAGATATTTAAAGATAGAGTGGGTCATTGTTATAAGGACTTCTTTTCTCAGATTGGGGATTCATTTTAGAATTTAGCTCTTAGTCTGCTCTGGTAATTATGATTTCTATTTGAAAGAAAATGCCTAGTTTGGAAGTATGCCCTAGAATCCTTCAAGTATATTTTCAGATTTTGGAAAAAAATTATGAAGACTCCTTGCCTATTTTAAATATATCCTTTATATATTTTTATATTTATCTTTTCAAAAGCTAAAGAGGGAATAATTTTGGTATGTTATGGACAAGTACACCAGCAGCAATGTAAGAGTGCTTCTCTTTCCCGTTGCCCTTAGCTTCTAATGATTTTATTTTATGTAAAAATTATTTGTGAATTTTCTTGTGTGCGTGTGTGTGTGTGTGTGTGTGTGTGTGTGTGTGTGTGCAGGCTTGTGTGTGTACTTGTGTGTACAGGTGCCCTCACCCTTGTGGGTATGTATGGAGGCCAGAGGTTGACTTTGGAATGTCTTCCTCAGTTGCTTTTCTGCCTTATTTTCTGAGACAGGGTCTCTCACTGAATCTGGAGCTTGCTGTTTCAGCTAGGCTGGCTGGTCAGTGAGCCCCTGGGATCTACCGCTCTCCACCCCAACTCCCAGCCTGGGGATTACAGATGTACACAGCCACACCTTGCATTTAGGTGTGCTCTGGGGATCCTAATCAGGCCTTTATACTTAGGTAGCAAGCACTTTACTCATTGATCCATCTACTTAGCTCCTAACATGCAGTTTTCTGCAGATTTCAGCTAAGCTAGGAATTGTTTGTAGCGTAGTTTCAAGGATAGATAGAAAGTATTGTATTCCTACAGAAATGTGAAAAGAAAATAAGCATTGCTTTCATAGTCCATTTTCAAGTCTGTTTTTCTTAATTGTTCTCTGGAACCTATGAAAAATTTGTTCCCAGAAGGGTCCCTCCTCAGCACAGAAAATAAGTAGATACTGCTTATGAAAATAATCAGTTTTATAGTTCAATCTGAGAAATGAATACTCAGTTCTGATCCTGCTTCTCTTTACTGTCTTTGTCAAAGTGTAAGACAGTGTCTAGGCATCTCCTAACAGAAGGGTTCACACAGTACAACCCGTAGCAAACTCAAGGAGTCGCAGCTTTCTACTTCCTGTCTTCCTGCCTATGTAGCTTTGAACTTTTTGCCTGTAGTTTATCATTTTCTCATTAATGCCCCAAGGACAGCCTAACCCATTGCCTCCCTTCACTGTTTTTGCCATTCCCACCCACTCGAAATTATAATCTACACAGCATCCTCTCCACAGCTAAGACCGGAATATAAGCATCGTGCTCCTAAAGTAGAAAGCACTCAGTCCCACAGTGGAGCTTAGCTGATTTAAGCGATCAAAAGTCCTGCCCTATTAGAGTCTTGTCCTCCCCATGCCCCTCACAACATCATTCTTAAAGCAAATTGGTATTTTGTCACTCCACAAGTACACTTAAGCAATGTATCTGTCTCAAATATGTATTTGTGTTTCTGTTTTATTTTCCAGCCTCATTGACTGTTATTTCAGTAAAAGCTGTCTCAGGCATGATCACTTTTTCTATGATGGATAAAATGCAACTAACTTACCCCATCTTCTATATCATGTTTGTCATCATGATAGCATCTTGTGTTTTCCAAGTCAAGTAAGTTAGCGTCTACATACTCAATGACCTTTTGGCATTCCTGTGCTTCTCTGAGCATTCATCTCTATTGGCTTTAGATACAGTTAAAGTGAGAGACAATGGGTCTCTCAGGGTGAAGAGACTCCAGCTTATCTACAGCCCGCATGCCTTGCTTTCTTCTTTCCTATCCAATAATTAGTTTGTATTCGGCACCGCCTTCATGTCTTGTGCATTCTAAAGAGCAGCCATAATCCAGCTAAGTGTGCTTTGATGCTTTCCTGATGCTCTTCTGCTTGTAATTAATATCCATCGTACACAGGTTGTCATTAGCAATAAATCAAAAGGGCAGGTCCACATCCAGGATTTCATTCTAAATATAGGAAACGCATGAACCCTTCACCTCCATTTCTTAGCTCATGCTCACTAATTGCCCAGAGATGGACAAAACCAGACGTTTGGCTGGGAGGAAAATCCTTTCCCCAGAACTTTGCATCTTCGGCCAGAATTTCACTTTGTACCCATGGGATTGCAGAATAGTTGTTTCATGTTTCTCTTGGGTCCTCATACTGGTGACATGGAACATTTTTAATTTCTGCCTCCATCTGCTTTAATCACAGCCCCCAATTCCACATTGTAATTAAACCTAGGCTCTCATGAGTTGGCCAGAGAGCTTTCTGTTCACCCCAAAATGCTATCCAAAAGCATCACCCTAGTGCCAGCAAGGAAACCAGAGCTCAGTCTGGTAATATGAGTGGTTCCTTCTGCAGGTGACAGTAATAGCTACTTGCTATTGTTTATAAGTAGGTCCTAGGCCTGGAGGGTGACAAGAGAAATCCAGTGTTTTGTCGCTGTTTATTTGTCAAGTCCTCCTGAGACCAAGTGCGTTTATCACGCTTGAATATTGTTATTTGTTTCTTCTTTCTTCTGAATCAGTGGATACTGCTACAGTGTCTTTAGGGATTTAGTGATGGGTGTCATTGCCCTTACACTATGCTTCATGAACTTAAAGGCAGACACAACTGAAGGAAGACTACATCCTGTCACCCTTAATTCACTCTCTCCACCCATAATACAGTAAAAATGTGGTCCTCAGCCTTATTTTCCCATTAAAATTACCTGAGGTCTGTTTAGATAGGTATACACACACACGCACACACACACACACACACACACACACCCACACACTCA